GGGAGAGAGAGAGGAGAGAGAGAGAGAGAGAGAGAGAGAGAGAGAGAGAGAACCAGAACCAGAACCAGAACCTACTCAGCTCATGGGCTTATTCTATGCCCAGATGCATTGCCAAAGCACAGGATTGCTCAAGAACCTTGAATGTGGGACAAGGGTTACAACTTTGCAGTGATCTTGTCTGGCTGTAACCTCAGATGATGCTCAGAAAGATACCTCAAAACAATTTCAGCAAAAAAATAATTGTTCTTCTTTTCTGGAATATCCTGCAGCTTGCCTTATCTCTAGGCAAACCACAGGATCTTATTTAGATTACACCAAATAAAAAAAAATATTTAGATGATGGACGTTTCAGAGATATACAAAGCTGCCTTCACTGATAACACAGGGCTAAGTAGCTTATACAAAATTTGCCTTTTGAAAAGATTATACAAGTGACAGAAAAAAACCATGTTTAATGCTCTCTGCTTCTGGGACCATTATCAGACTGCTGTGAGGTGATGCAAAAGGGCAGTTTTAAAAAAGAAAAAAAGCTGAATTAAAGTTATGAAAGTACAAATAAGTTGGTAGGTGTCAATTCCACTCAAATACTCAACTAAACTGAAATATTACACTATCAGATCCTTGCAAGAAATTTCTCTAGCCATAAAGAAAACCCCAGAGTTCATCTCTAGGACACAGTCACAAAAGATAACACAAGAAACAAACCACAAACAGAACAAAAAGAAATTTAAAAAAATAGAGATCTGATCATCCTCTGAGTTAGATTAAAACTATAAAACTGTTCTCAAACTATAAGGGCCAACTATTCTACATGGTGTACAGAGCAAAAAATGATATTGTTCTACTAAATGCCAAGTACATGTCTTCTGGATGTGCACGAACTATTCTTTTATTATTAGAATTTTTCTCCTGTTAACCTGGTAAGCCACTCAGAGTCTTATGGAGTCATGCAGCCTCTCAATTGTAGAACTGAATAACTTTGACCACAAATCCTATTGAAGAAAAAAAACAGCATTTGAAGGACACAGCTTGCATAATTATGTAGATTTTGTTTTGTTTTGTTTTTTTAAAAACAACCTTTCCTGGCTGAAGCACAAATGTTTCTTGCCAAGGCTAAATTTTATTCTTAGCACTGCTATGCCCTGTCTCCCATATCAACAACATGTGCTGTTCTATCACACAGACATTTGGCACAAATGCATGAACTTTGCTCTAGTTCTGCCTTTTTCAAGAGTATCAAACAGTGCACACTGCCATACATACTTTTTCTCCAGTTACAAGCTCATGTACCTCATTCCCAAACAAACTGAGAATATAAAATATCTAGTTTTGAAACATTTGCCCTCTGTGAAAAAGAAATCTTTAGAAATTGCAATCCATCCTGTTACCAAATATCACCTATGTTCTATTTCACTATATACATCCCAAATCTCCATTTGAAGGTTGGGCAGGCCCAGACTACAGTAAGGCTCCAGTTAGTTGATTTATTACAAACCAGCTTGTGCTCCCTTAAAACCGAACTTGGGGTAGTCTGAATAATCAATGGGATGCACATGGAGAAATCGTTAGTGATTTCATAAAATTTGTGGACAAGACAGTGTAAGTGCTTTAAGACAGGCAAGGTCATTTTTTCCCTTTGCCTTTGTTAAGAATGATTGTGGGTTTGGGTAAGAAGGATTTAACAGCAAATCACAGGCCCCTGAGCACATCTGGATGACAGTGGCCTATCTCACAGGGCTGCTGTGGGGGAATAAAATGAAAGAAAGTAGTACCAGGGGAGATAAGCAGGCATGCTCCTAGATCAGACTGACATTGCTGCAAGAACAGCACTTTCCTACTGACTCTCTACCTGACACCACTGGCAGAACAGTCCCTCCTGCTCAACTTCTACATGGCATCATTGCCAGTTCAGCCCCTCCTGTTGAACATATACCTGGCA